CATCTCTTCGGTGACAATAACTCTGCCCATTATTGTATTAATGGCAACTGGGACTGTTGCGATTCTAAGTGAGCCCAGGTCCGATGCTTCTTCCAGTATGGCATCTTACTGGACGAGGGACCCAGCTAGGCTTAATATGATGGCGCGTGCCTCTTGTTTTTCGGCTCTAATTGCGAAGCCAGTTGGAACACGGTATACGTGCTCAATATTGGTTTGAGGAATTTCGAGCACTTTTGCCACAGCTTTTCTAACACCAAACGTTGATAGCTTTCTCCAAGGGTGTTCATTTTCAAGGCGAAGTAACAAGCGTTCATCTTTGATGGCTAATTGCGTTGAGGTGGTTGGTTTTTTTGACGGCCGCGTCGAGTTTGTCGCCTTTGGCATAGTCTGCGCGACTTTTGTAGGTGCCGAGGGGGTCTTAAGACCGTTCCGGGTGATTGAGGCCCAAGTTATTTTGGCCTGGGAGGCTTTTTCATGAGTCACTTTACTTTGTGGCTCATCTTGCTTTCTAGCGGCACATTCTGTAATCTTGCTGCCAGTAGCCTGGGTTTCAGGGCACGAGGGAAGTACTGGGAGGACTATACCCGGTCCCGATATCATGAATTGAGCTATTGCAGCTCTGATGTAGATCTTCATGGAGTCTACAAATTGAACACTCGTCCTTTTGGATAGGGGGGAGAGAGCATTTTTGACACCGTTTATTGCAGCAGTGCAGATCTCAAAATTTTCTGCTGTTTTAGCAGTCCGGCGTTCTTCGGCTTCGATTAAGGCCCTAAGTTCGGAGGGATACTCTTCTGTCAGCTTGGGGTTATTTTTGCTGCGAGAAGCGGTACTCTCCTCTGTTTTCCCTGGTGTACCCTCAGGGGGATTTTTGGGACAGGCGGCTCCTGTTTCCTTACTTGTCTGTGCGGTCGCTGCCCGCCTAACAGCAGGGTTAGCAATCTTTCTGGTTGTGATGGCGGGGATGACTCTGACTTGGCTGTCTTCCGAGTCTTCTACGTTCCACCTAGAGCTACTGAGGCCCTCTTTGTTGTGGCCAGGCATCCTTGAAGAAGGTTCAAGGACAAAGTTCAAGTAAAAGGTTTAAGGAGAAGGTTCAATGAGAAGTCATCCGAGAAAACTCTGACATTTAGAGTTGGAGGGGTTTACCATGACATAATCTTCCAAAGCCTCACTTAAATCTAGCACGTAATTAGTTATACTTAAGGAAGCTGGAGTTACTCTAAAGTAGTTCTTCAGCTTCTCAATCTTATATACTCATAGTCTCTAGAATACTTCTACTCGTCTCGATCTCTCGATCTGCAGTCCTAACCTTTTGCGCCTCGCCCGTTCAGTTTAATACCCCTAACCTTACCCGTCTATATCGTCTTGTACTTACTCGCCTAGTCATAAATAGGATATCTTCAGCAGACGGCACCTCCCAATTCGTTCACCACACGCCTTAACACTCTTGGATATAAATGTCGATTGTTCTATCGGACATTTCGATGTCTGGATTGCTAGAGCTGGTATTTTCTTTGAAGGCATTGATTCTCTTGATAAGCTATATATCCATTTCGTATTAGTCGATATTTTTTACTGTCGAATTCTTGTCGATCATACGTTTGATCACTTTCTTTTGCGCTCTTCTGAGGACGTCAATAACACGATCTTCACGCTATTTTTTGAGTTGCCCCAGTGCCATTCCGAAGGTCGGGGGCTTGTCTGAGATCACAATTTTCTGATGAATGCGACGAGCGCGAAAGGGAGGGAGAGGGGGTAAATAGGGATATTCGAAAATTCGAATTTCAAAAAATTGTGGGTATGTGTGTTTTAATTGTACTACCTGAGTCATAGACTATCTAGCACATTGGGCTCCTCTATGACCCAGGCCACACCTTGTACAGTGCTCCTTGCCTCTCATGCCACTTGTAACATCATTGATATGTTGCCCGTGATAAATAGCCATTCAGCTCAGTGTTCACCCGTGGAATTCGGCCGCCTTTTCCACGGAACCTTCGGCCCAAATAAAATGCTAGCAATGGAAACTGCGTGCGCGGAAAAAAGCCTCAAAAAACCTGAAGCCCCAGCCAGGCGAGGCCTAGACACCGGGACCACATGAGGTGCGCATATTCATCTATATCTCCCTTCTTTGTAACAGTCGAGGTCGACTTGATCCAATCCGCCATCTCCGTATCGGGTGCTGGGTACGCTCCGGAAACTCATCGGATGGCTTTTCCTCCATGACCAAGGGTTTGTGATGAGTAGGGCCTCGACCCTACCATCTGATCCGATCGTGGTTAGCTTCATGATGGTGATTGGGGAATGTGATGAAAGATGAAGACGATACAGACCGCGTAAGCGATTGGGAATCCTCGTCGAAGTGAGAACATTGTTACTCAATCTCGGCTCTGCAGACTCTACAGTGAGAGCTGGAGGTTCGTAGGAGACACCACTGACAGGTGTTGAGAAAAGTCCCCCTCTCTTCTCCGGTGATTGGGAGCCATGGGAGATCTTTCCTGGCTACACTTGTTATGGTGATAGGGATGTCGTCCTGGGACGAGAATCTAACCAGTGGGGTCTGTCGGAAAGTCTGAGCCTTTGCTTCGGGGGTAGCTATAGGGCTATGGGGTCCTATGAGAGGGGGCATAGGGCTGGCTGTTTGTTTCTTATGCAACCTAGTGATTTTATACACCTCTTTGAGATTTGCTACTTGTTCAATCTTATTACCCTAATAATCTCGCTTGTATTTCTTGACAAATTTGGCAAATTCGCGGTATTCTTTAACAGCATCTAAGCCTTGTCGGTGTGTTCGACAGAAGTTGCGGTGGGCTTCTGCGCAGGCCTCGGTCCACCAGCGAGGTCCGCAACTATGCTTTCTGGACCTTGGGCAAGATTCCCACAGGGCTCCCGAAATGGCTTCTGCAAGAAAGGTTGCTTCCTCGTTAACGTTAGATATTTGGGGGGTTCTTGTTAGGGTATTGCTACATTTAGATAGGGTCACGTGTGACTAGGTAATCGCATAGAGCGCAAACACGTCTGTATTTAGTTACTCTCTAGCCTCAGAAGGATCACCTTTCCTCCTTGTAGACAATCACATTCACCAGATTCGACCTCGTCAATCTTCCACGCATCCATACCTTGACAGTTCTGAGCTGATCCCTCAAAATACTGTTGAATGCAGGCCAGTCGGCAGCAGCATAACGGAGTCGTCCAGGGTTAGGAGCGTCGGAGCCTCCATCTAGAATTCGGAAATACAGTGTCATATGGTCTAAGCCGACGTCAAGATCATATTGAACTTTGTAACAAGCTTTGGAGCATTCTTTGACAAAGCTTAGTTTGAGAACAGGGCCTGCATCGTGAGTGGATTCTCCGTCATTATTTAGTAAACAAAGCCCCTTTTCGGCTGCCCAAGCTAAGAGAGGTTCACTACATGCGTCGTTTCGCGCTGCGGGGTCCAAGAGCAAATGACGGATGTCAAAATAGATTTCACTTAGTGGACTAAGTGATTAAATGTTTGTAAATATTATCATATGATCATGTTCTCCACAAAAACGTTACAAAGATATGAAATAGCGGCGCTGAATTGTATCGTCATAACGAATCCACACTGTAATGGAATGAGAACGAGACTGCTAGAGTGAGGGAGAACGATTTGGTCATTACTCCTAGAAGAGAAATTATATCACAATAGAAATTTCTAGTACTAGACTGTGGACAATACAGTAAGTCTGGAACAAGTTATAAATAGGTCTTAACCTCTGTTTGATCTCTTTGACTAGTTTATTTCATACATATAAATATAAGTACAAGTCTCACTTAATACGAGAACACACGTGATAGCGACTAACGAGACATACTGTGAGCTTAACTTCCATAATTATATCCATCGTTCTGCTCCTATATAGCTGTCGGAATACTTCGGTGGTAATTGATATCACAAGCTTGATGTAGCAGTAACAATTATGGTACGTATGAAAATGATCTATCTCCCCCCTGTCTTCCTAGAAGAAAAACATCTATAAACCGTAAAACCCCCGTCTCCTAACGCCATTCCCAAACGGGTACCTCATTACTCATCAACACAATTAGTCATTAGTTCTAAGGAAATACATATTGATCATTTGATCGTTAAGTCATTAAACAATAGCCTAGTTAATATAACACTTACACTGGTACCTACGGCGCACACTTCTCACTCTTTAAGCTATAATCTGAACTTGACACTCTCCCAGTAGACCTCTTCTTTCGTTCCAGGGATGTTCTGTGACGGGAATTGACCACGTTAGGTATTCGCAAAGGTATATTGTAAACAGAGTGATATCCTGTATAGAGAAAGAAGAACTATGAAGACTACAAGCTCATTTACTTAATATCGCGAGTCGCGTGTGGATTTATTCTTAATTTATCCTTTACACAACTCCAAAACCAGACCAAGCCGCGCGCTCGAAAAAATATTGATGAGTAAACCTGTTGCACTACGGTAAAAACCAAACAAAGCTTTAGCCTGTAACATAATGCGCCATTTTATTGCGCAATATTTCCAACACTCATATCTAGGCTGTGGGATAGGGAAGGCGAGAGCTTGGGACATTATTAGAGCAAGTTCAATTCACTTTCTGAATCTAACCATGATCGCAGGCATAATTCCTATCATTAGATTTTCACTGGAAAGATGATTTCCACAAGTTCTTTGCCCAGACCAGCATATGAATTGACAAAGACTGGAGCTAGGAAAGGATAGAAATTAAAGAGGATCTTAAAAACTGGCCATCAATTTCTCACTTAACTAACCTATTATTCAAAATTAATTAATGGTATTGTCATCTTGCTAGGACATGTCAATAGGTGCGGATTCACACTAGAGAACTTTCATTCATCTTAGTCTGCAGCCTCATGTTTCTTAGTAGAATAAAGTATCCGATTTCTCATCAGAATTTTTGTCTTCTATCTCACCTGCATTACTGTTTGAGTCCTCTAGTTATCAAGTCTACTTCATGAAGAATTCTAGAATTTGAGTTTTATGTAGTCACGCCCATAAAATTACATTCTGCGTCTAATACGAGCCAGATAATTGTTCCATCTAAATTTTTAGCTCGTGTAACCTTTGAATCTGGCTAGATACATACCGTGAACAAAAGTCTCGGGCATTCTCAAGGGCCATTTCAGTACCGGGTGATCTGATATGGTCTCTAGATCCGTCCAATATGGATATCCTACAATCAAGTGAGTGCCCATATTTCTTTCTGTGATAACTTTGCAAGCCATGTGTAGATTACTTTTTATCATGGCAGCTGATAAGTAGATCCCTTTGAAATTTATGTCATTCAACGGTTCATAACTCATATCTGGCTCTCTTTCTAAGAAAACCTTCATCCTGTATGCATGATCAAGACTGCGAAGTTCGGCAAGTGGTCTCCAGTCTTTCCACGCCTTACGTGTTATACCGATTATTTGAGTTAAAGAATTAATTATCAGACGACGATTGATAAATCCTTTTGCTTTGGCTTAATTAGAGATGTTTCTGAGGTGATGGGGTGAGAGCTTACGTATCTCAATGCCTGTGGGACCGCGCCTAATGGTGCGTGTCCAAATGCCAGAATTTGCCTCGTTTACATCGCTCGGGTAGTGCTCTAAGACATTATTTTTATGTGAATCATCATGGAACTTGTTTAGATTTGATATGACGAATTCGTCGAGTTCATTCTTAAAATAAATTTCATTTTCATACTTAAATCCATATAACGGTAGATTTTTCCATGGTACATTATAAATTTCTAACTTATAAGCTAGGTTTAGATCTCCAGCTTCCACCAAATGCGGACAAGGTTTGGGACCGTTAGGATCGATTTGAATAAGACCGATAAGTCGGCAACTGGAATCAAAAACAACGCGATTTACACCGTAATCCACTAAGATTCAAATCAGAAATTTGTAAAATTAAGCCTTCAAATGTTAAGTGATTTAGGAAATAGTAATATTCGTGCAAATACACACCTCGTAAGATATTATCTGATATAAATACAGGCCACGTAAACAACACAATATTTGTTAGATCAAATAATTCCGATTCAATGAAAGATGCAGGAAATAGGCTGGTAGGTAGTGCGACCTGCATTTGACTACAGCCAAGCTTAACAGCCTCTTGCGCTTGATCCATTGAAATAAATTGAGGACTGCATTTGAACACTTCTCTGAGACTTTTCCGCGGTGGTGGATTTGCGAAATATAAAGGAAGAAGAGTTAAAATATATAACACTGTCCATGCTATCATGTTAGGATATCGAGACACTCTTGTTGAAACTTTGGGATTGTAAAGCATGAGATAAGATGGCCCAAGTATTTTAGATATGATGTAGTAGGTAAATAAATCCTGATATCATCTCGAAGGACCAGATCAGAATGAATAAGCTAGTCATCACTCTGCACCATTTCTGTGCTTGATGGGAGTACTTGACTCGAAGTTAAATTCCAGAAAACTATTTCATATTGGCAGAGGTAATTCTGCGAGTCATTAATCACGATTCTTAAGGATGATGTGGGCAGCTTATCAAAAACTTGGTGCTTGGATTGGTCCTAGTTTGCTTTTACATCGCATTCATTGCAAATTTCTGAAAAGGGACGAATAACCAACGCCCGTCAGTGGTTGTTCCTACAAATCACTTGCTTTCATTGTAGACTCTTCAGACCCAGGGCTGAGTAACACCTTTCTCACATTGATGAGAATTCCTAGGCGCTGTATGGTCTTCAGGTCCTTGCCATCATCATGAAGCTAGTCACGATCAGACTAGATTGCAGGGTCGAAGCCCTACTAAATACCCACCTCTAATCACGGAGAAGAAGCCTTCTGATGGGTTTTCGGAGCATATCCAGCACCTGATACGGTGATAGTGGATTGGATCAAGTTGGCCCCTAATGTTACAAAGAAGGGAGATATAGATGAATATGCGCACCTCACGTGGTTGCGATGTCTAGGCCTGGCCTGGTTGGGGCTACAAGTTTTTTTGGGAATTATTCCCGCGCACGCAGTTTTCATAGCTATCATCCTTTTTTATCTGAACATTTCTGTAGAAAAGATGGCTAAATTTTGCGGGTAAATGCTGAGCTAGTTTAATTTCCACAAAAAGACAGCATATCAGAGTTCCTTAACGTAACAAATGTGGATATGGGCATTACTCAAGATGCGGCCTGGACCAAAGAGGAGCCCGATGTGCTAAATTGTCTCACTCAAGTAATACTAAAAACATAACCACCCACAATTTTATGCAAGGATAATGCCTTTAGGCCACCATACATGGTATTCCGCAATGTTTTCATGAACCATCTTAACTGTGAACGTGTTACTATGAACCACATACATTCAGACCGGAGGGCAAGACTGAACACCTGTACGCAGTGTCCTCTACGAACCTGGGAGTGAAATATTCTCCCAGAGCCAAGTTCAGTCAAATTTCGCAATATCAAAGAGGTTGGCCCACAAGGCAAAAATCCAAATTACTCATCCACTTCGTTATTTCGCTCCCAACGAGTTTGACTCCTATCTTCGTCTCATCGAGTCTACAAGTACGACCAAGTACATCCTCATTCCAATGACCACACCACTCTTCGACCTTCTCTGGCCTCAGCTGGTCACCAAATACACGCCCACGCCGATATTTATACCCGACCGAGGAAGCAAAGCGTGGCGCACAAATTTTGGAGATAGCTCTTTGGGATGGACGTGAGAGGGATCAGGACAAGTTGAAAAGATGATGCAAAGGAAGGATACAACGTCGAAGGGCGTGAAATTCCGAATTTTGGCAACGAGTTTTACGGATTGAGCTTTGTGCGCGCCAAGACTTCGCTTGCGAGAGTGCAGCTGACACTATAAAAACAAGCCGACGATGGAAGATGTTGCGATCCGCCTCCTGGTGATGTTCTCTAGTATAGTTTGAGTAGCCTGGGCACCTACTCCACTTGGGAAGGAGACACCTTAGATCACATATCGCGCGGAGAAAAGTTGAAAGGTGATGGAGGCATGTCTGGATAACCCAGGGGTTTTGAGACGTTCCCCTGGGTGGGTATCTACGGATGAGGGTTGACTTGGGGTGAAGAAAAAGCCGCCATAACTTCGCAGTGGTACTTGCAAATGAAATCTGAGGCATGAGTGCTCTACTTTTAAATTGAATCATCTATTCTATACTTTTCTTTGATATTGTGTCATAGCTAGATAGCTGCATACGCAATTAAAACCTGATGCAAAAAAATACAGTCAGACCCCTGTTAAGACGATATTTTTTCCAGAACTGACTTCGTTCCCATACATTTACCGATTACACAATTATCGTTCTTCTACATCTGAATATTATCTTAAGCAGGGTTTTTTTGCTAGATTGGTGCTACAAATGCCGCCAAAAAAGGGAGTTTCTGTGGAGCAACAATATTCTCTGTCTGACGATATTTTTCACGGCCCCGATTAGGTTATATTAACAGGGGTCTGTCTGTAGATGGACTAGGTAATCAAATCCTTTAAAACGATATCCCGTATAAGACGATATTTTTCACGGCCCCGATTACATCGTCTTAACAGAGGTTTGACTGTATTGGCAAGTGAATATTTTTTTGTCCTAAATAGTCTATAACTATGTAAGGACATGTAGGTCCTTTCTGCCTACAGGCCGGGAGTATCTATGCCTCGGGTAGTGTACTTCCTCCTTTGCCTCCCTCACGACTTCTTTCCAGCAGTAATACCCCCACAGGTCTTCATTCGAGTGTACACTAAGAGGAGCCGTTATCTCGTCATTATCTCCTCTCTGCAGCCAACGAAACGATGGCCATTTGCGGGTGTGTAGCTGCAGGGAAAAGTCTCAAAAACCACTGGGTGCGGAGCTCTCCTATGACGAAGAGGCCGGCCAGCCGAGCGCAGTAGACCTGTGTATACCTAAGAGTGTCTCTCAACCTTCCTAGCCTCCTCCTTACTCCTCCATTGATTCATGCCGCAGGACAAACCCAAGGTCGTGAAAAGATGTTAGAAAAGTCTTGGTCGAGAGTGACTATCGCGAAGGAGTCTTGTCTAGCATCCAAAAGTCGTTACGGATGTGGGGTTGTCGTGTAATTCATGTATTTCAGATGACCTCCTGGCTAGTAGATTCGGGGGTATAGATTAGTAGGGACTATATTATTGACAAGTCGAAATCTGCTTTTCTTGAGAGCGGAAGGGTCTTTTACTCTGCTTTTGTGGGCTTTTGGTTTGCCCGCCGGCAGGTAGCACATGTTGTGATATAACGAGGGCTTCTCTGACTACCGTTGTAGCGTTTGGTACCGCATTATCTTTCCTCATTCCCAGCATCATTATAATCGTCTTTGTCGTCTTGTGAGTTATCGGAAGCGTATCTTTGACGGAGGGGGAGATAACTCAGCTCAAAATTGATAAGGTGTTACTCAATCTCGGCTCTGCAGACTCTACAGTGAGAGCTGGAGGTTGTTATGATAACGAGGTCATGAGAAGACAGAGGAATACGTGAAATGGATTCAGATTTTTGTGGATATGCGGATATAATTGATGAAGCTATAAATGCGAAGATGCGTTGGGATGGACAGTAGTGGGATGGATGATTTTCAATCTATCTGCGGAAGTATTGCTTCCTTATATATACATTCAGTACCCCGGTCCTGATCACGCACTCACCACAGGTGCTTCCTACTTCTATCACAGTAACCACTTCCATAGCCCCTGCCAATATCTCCTGTCATAACATACTATTGACACTAGTTGCTAGTGTGGAACTCCTGGGATTGCAGAGCTATACACCTTCGTCACATTATATGCTGTTGCCCCTCGGTAGCCATCAGAGTGATGTGTACCTCATTCTAGACGCATTGGTCTACCAGGAAACGCTCGGACGTAGGGATGTTGCCAGAGTGATTAGGTCCTCAGCTGTGCTGTCAGTGCCCTAATATCACCTAGCATCCTGCGCCCGAATGTCCAAGTGCCGCAATAGTGGAAGTTCAATGAGACTCGATCGGAGCTGATCCGTGGTATTCACAACAAGTAATCCTGCTTTCTTTAAATTGAACCACAGAATTTCTGGCTTATAGTTTTAGGCTGTCTCTGCTTAATTGTCTTTGTCGCTGTTCGCAACTGGTCGGGACTGTTAGCCTCATACTAGGTAGCTCCCACTACAGCCAGTATAATGAGTCAAAGAATATGAAAAAGCTAGTTTTAGACGCGGCAACGCGGCTTTAGTGCCGGTGATGTAAGTAAAAGAAGTTAGAGATTGGCTTTTATAGTTCTCTCCATTGTCAGATTTTTAGTATTGATGCTCATGAGATTAGATATAATAAGTTTTATAATATCTCTCTCGATGTTTCTGTAGGTTCTACTGAAGATCTAGAGGTTCTTGGAATGGTAGAAGTGAAGGTTGTCCGTTGTCACGGAATGTATAAAGGGAGTATCAGGATCTGGATGGGTCGGGATCAATAACTGTGTTGTGCGATAAGGAGAGTAAATCTAACTATGTACATGGAAGTCTCTAAGTCCCAAGTTCGCTAAGCCATTCCTAGGACTTAGTCCCGTGACAGTACTCCCCCTCCAAAATTGAAGTTTGGACCCCAAACTTTTCTCTACTTTTGAATTTTATGTTATGTGATGATTATTTAAATTTCTTAATCTGTTTCCGTCTTCTACTTGACCTTCGTAGTTTTTGTACCGGAATTGATTGATTTGTAGACGGCATCTTCACCCATTCTGGAGGCCCTGGTTTATCGGGGTATTTGGTGTGGAAATCTATTAATGCCTTGTCACATCCTTTCAAATCTGATTCTGGCTGCCAGGTGGGATTTTGATCGTATTTCCACTTAACAAGGTATGTAAGCCCGGTCTTATCAATATTTTCATCATGTACATCAAAGATCTTATCGAATTTCCATTTTCGACAATTTTACCGTCATTTTCTCTTTCTACAACCCGGCCTGCAGTATTGCGACGCTCGTTTATGTTGATACTAGATTGGCCTGGGATTATCGAGTCTGGCCACGGTCGAACCATTGATGTATGGAAGCTATTGTTCACCCCAATATGTTTCGGAAGTTCAACAATTACCGCCCCATCATATACCTTTATCACTTTGAAAGGACCATCCCATTTGTCATCCCATTTATTTTTTGGTCTATTTGTCTTAATATTTTTAAGGCTTATCATCACCTTATCCCCCAGATTATATACTGGAGCCTCCGATCTTCTAGCATTTGCATTATTCTCATATTGTTCTTGAGACTGACTAATTAGTGCTTTAAGTTTCTCCAATATGCGATTAAAACGATCCACAATAGCATCAGCTCTTA